TTTGGGGAAGTGGCTCCAGAAACGCGCCTGGTTGGCGAATCGCTTCTCGGCTGGATACATTTCACGTTCATGTGCGAGCGCCATGCGTTAACCTTACATACGTAGTGTGGACAAAAGATGTCCACACGATGCAGGAAGGGAAGACCGTCTGTGGACTACACATGTCCACAGGACGTTTCCCCTTCTCTGAGAAAAGACGTTTAAATGCATTTTGGGGTTAGGGTTATTTGTCGTAAAAGGAACAGTCAAGAAAACATTTTACACAATCCAGCTGACAATCGTGTTCTCCGTTCAAGAAAATGAGTATTTTCAAAGAGTTTTCCTAACTGCACGAAAACAGAGCAATGTCCACACTAGTAATATAATTTGTGTTTTGTTTGTTTCAAAATATTGCACCTAGGCCTATACCAGGCCCCAGTACCATTTGAAATTTTGTTTTATCAAACTTCTATGGCCTTTCTAAGGGATGAGGATTCACAGAGGAGAGTTAACGGTCTTTTGGAAGAAAAAAAAGAAAATAGTACTCGGCAAATTTACGCACCAATAATACCGGTCACAAACATTTTGTTTATGATGGCCACCTGTATAACATGCATTTTACAGTGCCAAAGTAATAAGAAAGAAAAGATTTTACGGATTCGTCTGACAAAAAAAACACAGTTCATTGTGCTCTTCAAAAATAATCATCAGCACAGGAGGACAGTTTATGTTGTTCGTTGGATGATGTACTACATGCAGAAAGCTCTTACCGTTTGTTTTAGACGCACCTTTAATAATCGACCCTTGTGAAGTCATCACGGTGGAGATTTGCCAGTCCGACATCGGCTACACCAAGACAGCCATGCCTAACATCCTAGGCCATCAAACCCAGCATGAAGTGGAAATTGAACTTCAACAGTTCTATCCTTTGCTGCAAGAGCATGAGTGTTCGCCCTTCCTGAAGAAGCTCTTGTGTGCCATGCACACTCCACAGTATGCAGTGGTTTGTTTTTCCATAGAGCTTGGGGATTGTACAGTTGTATTTCAAAATAGAGCTTCGATTGGACACACCATTGAGAACTGTTGAGAGCCGTTGCCAAAAGGGTTAAACATGAACAACGGGGAACGATAGGAAATCTTCCATATTCCATATACACCAAAAATTGTGCGTCAGCGGTGTTGTGTAAAGATGCGTGTGTGAGTGTGTGTGGGGGGCAATGCTTTTGTATATAGTGACGATAATGGAGTACAGTACAAATATAAAATTGGTCGAGTGGAACTAGGCAGTGAGGCCCCCCAAATGATTAACTATTGTCGATCATAACATTCAGCCACGAAAGCAGGACAACATTGTGTTGGGATCCTCACCGGAATGTGGAATATCATTTTGAGCATTCATGATTGTCAATAGCATTACCCCCTGAAAGTAATCCTGTATGTCATTTTGAATGAAGCACAACTGTTGGCAGAAAATGACCTGGGTCAAATTTAACATATTCAATTCAGACAGGAATTTGTTATTGTGCCCAGTAACATGGAATTAACAACTGACAATGTTACCCGTGTTGAGTGTCCGTCCCATTTCAGGTGCACTGGCGATTCCAGTCGCCCCATACTGCCCTGCAGAGAGCTTTGCGTGCAGGTTATGGATAGATGCGAGGGTCTCATGCAGGAGTATGGACTCTTGGGGCCAGGAGGTCATAGTTGTGAACTGCCCAGCTTCTCTGCAGGAGAGGATTGCTACTTAGGAGGTAATGTGCAATCTTGTGTTTGACGGCTATAAAACGCTTCGTGGTCACAAAACTTGCTATTACTCGAGTTGCTCCTAAGGTACCACACAACCTTTATTTTTGAACCAGTTCGCCGCGAGACGGGACTTACCCATCAGAGCTTCATTATCAGACCTGTCTCTTCATGTCACAGGCGCGAATATGACCGAAATACAACCCGCCCACGATCGATGCCAAGACATCAACGTGTCCATGTGCCAGTCTGGCATCGGATACAATCACACGGTGATGCCCAGCGTCCTTGGCCACGAGACGCAGAGTGAGGCGGCGATACAGCTCTCTTCATTCATGCCTCTCGTGGAGTATGGCTGCTCACCCCACGCCAGAAGCTACTTCTGCTCCATGTATTTGCCCATGTAAGTACCAGGTTCATTCTGCCAACACACTACAAACTGCATTATAGGGAAAATGTATGCAATAAAAGATGGCTGACAAAACTTAGTTCAAAGATAACAGAGATAAAGAAATCAACATGCTCTACTCCCTGAATGATTTTTACATACATGTACATTGAAATGTGTAATACGTAAACTTTAAAGTACAGCTGCATTGAATTTTTCTTAGACTTAATTTTTCTGCAATTTTATACTCCTTTTCAGTGTATGAAATCTATTGAATATCTCTATAGAGTTGAATGTATTTAAAAGTGAACTTTTTCAAACATTTGAAATTGTCCATGCTTTCCTGGACAGCTGAGGGCGTTGTTGCTGTGATGCCATTCCTTGAAGACACGTCACGGTTCAGTGTAGTACAGGTTTTTCTGTTCCAATAGCGGATCCAGAATGGTTACCTACTCAATGAAACCATTTTTAAGAAAAGCTTGATTGCTGCTTTATTGCCATTGACCCACATAACAACGAATCCCCAAAGAAGAGAAAATTTGGGGCAGCAGAATCTTCAAATAATACAGAAACTCTTTTGTGCAGAAATCAATGTGACGTTGAGGTTTTCTTCGTGAAGAGATGACATCACAGTTTGAACTTATACAATATGGAAATAGTCGTAAAAACAGGAGGCAGCAAAACACCTTGAAATCGATCGTGAAACAAACACTGAAATTAGATTAAAAGTGACGAAAGAGCATTTGAAGTTGTATATAAAAATCTATTGCAGCTACCCATTAAAGGTGAGGGGTGGGCTTCATTTTGAAGCCCACCGGTCATGATCCCCGACGTTTACAAACTATATTAAAGCGCCAGCACTTTAGAAATGGTACTGGTACCTTTCTCACTGGATAAAAAAGTCAGTCACTCAGAGGAAATCCAATTTTGCCTCCTCCCATCAGAACTGGGTATCCTGTTGCTTACAGCTTAATTGTGTACGCATTTTAAGTCTTGAAACTTTGGTCGACTAGCAGTCATTTTGTCTGGCAGGTGCAACACCTCCAGCGGAGCCAAGGTGCTACCTTGCCGGGAGCTGTGTGACTCTGTCAGGATAGATTGCTTGGGAGCGGTGCGTGAATGTGGCATCAGTGGGCCGGAGAGATTTGTGTGCGAGAATCTGCCGAGTCGAAATAGCGGGTCTACTTGCTACCTTGGAGGTATGACCAAAGTGTGTTTACAATATGGGGATACTAATTGAGTCTGGAGGCCGGAAAATTCAGTAAAATCTCTAAACAATGATGTATTTTAACAATATATGAAAGTGACAGTTGTGATGTGAATGAGAGATAATGATAAAGCACCTTGAACACCCAGCAGGCCAGGGTGGATACGTGCTTATTATAAGAAATCGGTATTTATCACTATTACAAATGGGTCATTAGGGAGACATTTTGTGGTAAATTCTTCGACCTAAGGGAGACATCGGTCATTAAAGCTCCAGCTCCCAGAAGGAGGCCGAATTTTACCGTTCAAATTTTGAGAGATGATAGATTAGGGTCTAAATTGAAAACATACAAAGTTTGGTGCAGATCAGTTTAGGGAATATTTAATTATGGGACAGTAAAGTTTGTGCAAGTTCTTATGGGAATGTCTCCCAAGTGACCCATTTTCGGTAAACAGTAATTATTATCTATGCCTGGTTGCGTAAGGAGGCTCCCTTAACGCGATAGTTTTCTCCTCTTTGTGTTTTTTCTACCATCCCCAGATTTGGAACCAACGATCTCGAGCGATGGTCCTGGTCCACAACAATTCGACATGACAAGTACCCTTAAGCCGCGCCGTAACGACATTCACAACCTCGGCGTGCCGTCCATGTTCCGTGGCTGGGTGGATGTTCAGGGGCAGGGCGCCGCCAACGACTACTGTAGGTAAGGCAAGGGCTTGGCACATTCGACCAAATGGAGGTGGTACAAATGTATGCACATACAGTTACAATCACACGCTAGTTGATCGGTGCCGAGTAGTTGCTGTCGTTGGCCAGGCCACGGTGCCATTTACGCGTTGTACACGGTGCCAAGTACACGCATGGAACACATGGGCCTGTTGGGGAGAACCATTTCTGTGAACGAGATACGAATGATCTCCTTGAAGGGACCATTTAATAGAGTTTTTTAAAATCAAATTTTACTTAAAAGCCTTGAAATTGCACCTTTGGGTTTCAATCAACCTTATTGTAAATTCTTGTTTTACTATTTTAACTCAGGTTTTGGAACTCTTCTGTTTTATACTAATAAATATTTGCATATTCATGAGCAAAACTATGATGTCATCCGAGGCACTGAATCTCAGTGTTGCCCTAATTTTTGTATAATGAATGTCTGAATTTTTTTAAACACTGGTATCGTAGATTTCCTTCGACAATTTATTGGGTAAGTATACGGCAATAAGCCAGTGAGCAACCTATTCTCATAAATGTTTTCACATCGGAAATTTCGAGTTAACAATTTGAACATGAAAACATGCAAACTGAGCTGCCCCTGGATTTACATCAAGGCAAAAGCGCCCTCACTTGTCCGCATATGCCTGGTCAATTTCTGATGTTTAACACTTTTCAGTTCTCGCAGCTCAAAAAAAGATTTATACAGTCTTCAAACGTTGAAGAAGAGTCAAAACATATGCAAAAAAAGAAGATTCTACGAAAATTAACTTATAGTTCCTTTAATCTTGTATAGGGTTGTCACCAACTCTAACGACGGCTACCTACTGTCCTGCTCGCTGGCTGGGATGGAAGGCAGCCAGAGTGACTTGGACTACAACAGCACTGGGCCGTGGTTTGATGCCGGTCACGTGGATACGTGGTACATGATGGACGTCAATGGGGACCGCAGAGATGACTATTGTAGGTAAGACAGAGGCTGTTGAGCTTGCCCAGGCGAGGGGGACAATTGTGTTGGGCTGACAACCGTCCAAGCTCCCATGTTGTCTGTGCAACTCCTAGATGTCCATCTTGCATCAACATGCAATTCACAATGCGGTCTGGTGTTTGTTAGAGTATGCAAATGTGATTTGCGGAAAACCTGTGTACTGATGACCCTAGCGTTAATTAATTTAGGTTTTTTTGCCATGCCCAACATGTATAACATGGTATACACAGTGTCTGCCCCCGAAGCCTTGTGAAAAATACACAAGCGTAACCCATCTAATCCGTACATTTTATTTTCATCGTGGCACGGTACCCTCAGGTGCATCGGACCCCTACCAGCTACCCATGTCTCGTGTCTGCTGGCCGGCGAAGGTGGATTCATGACAGAGACATTAGACTACAAGCCGGTGCCCGGTGGCTGTCACAACAGCACTGCCGACCCTTTCTCCGGATTAGAGTCCGTATGGGTAGGGGATGACACGGGATCAGGGGATCGGACTTGACTGGTGGTCGGATCGGTCTATGAGTTCTGTACAGTTAATGAGTGCTGTGCTTCGGCAAACAATCTTAGACCTATGTGAAGCATTATGTAGAATGCCCCTTTCCAAACATATCCACCGCATGTTCTTACATTCTATCTCCGTATCTGCCGTAGGATGTCGAGACCGCGAGTAAGGCTTTTGATATTTTTTTCTTCCCCAACATTATGCTGAACAAGCCCAAAACCGCAGTCGCTTTTGAATTCCGCCTCAGCCCACTCAACAAAAGCTAGATATGCGCTGGGTACAGCGCCTCCATTGAACAAAATAAAAAGCTTTTCAAACAAGCGCGAAGTATGTGGGTGCGCTATCCTCCGTCAGTAGAAGCTGTGTGGCGGACGCTGTCTGACGTTTTCTTTCCTCTTTGGCTAACCATTAGCGGGTTGTTGCGAGAAGAGACACTTTCAAACCCTCTGTTCACCGTTTAATCGTCAGACGATGTGCGACCCACAACTAGCGCGCTCGGCTTTCAACTCAAATATACGAGGTAAAACTGGTCTCGTGTTACTATCTTAACAGGTTGTTGTTTGGCCGTGCTACCAAAAAAGAAAAAAAACATTGGGGAGTGCTGGGTTAAATACTCTGCGAAATGACGATCAAAATGACAAGAATTATAAAAACTAAGATCTTTTCGACGGCGAACATAAAACTTTCAAATTGTCCAACGTATCTCTCGGTTTGCTGTCAGCGACTGCTTACCATTTTGCACAGAGGAGAGAGACGCACCTAAGGCAGTGCTTTTTAACCTGTTACTGCACTTTCGCGTGTAATACATAGCCGTTGAAAAACAAGATACTAAACTACGTCAATTGTGTACTGTGTTTCTAATCAGCTCACAAAGATACTCAAGCCTATCCCTGTGATCCAAAGCTGCTGCCGTCAGAGGACGCGTTAACGTATAAACTCTATGATAGCTTTATAGTGGCTCATACTTTTTAGTTGATGGCATGGCTCCTATTGTGGGGGGTGGTCTCGTGGGGAAAGGAAAGTTCTACATTACATATTATTAGTCTACATAATTGTACTCTATGTCCACTTCTAAAACTACCAAAGTGGGTGTGATGTACCCTTAGGCTAGCTTTATCATGGTTGGCACTGGTGACCCCGGGGGTCTTGTTCCCATGTACATGTAAATGCATTTCTACAAGTTTCCCATACATACTGGCATCTGGTAATATTTTTCGCACAATAAAATTAGAGCTCTTAAGGGTCAAGAAATTCATCACATGTATGTAGCCCTGTGTTTTTGTTTTCTTTTGGGTCTGACAGCAATAAATACGATCCTTGGTGTTTTATGACCGCTGGTGACCTTTGACCGGAACTCTCTCTTAAACAGGAATGACACTACTTGACACTTTCTTAAGTGGTGGAATTTGCTCCAGCACAGTATAAGTATGTCATATTGAAACGTGTTTAATCCTTGCACTTCTAATTATGATTGATATGTGTAATTAAAGCCAGCTAAAGACTTAAATTGGACGTAGCATCATTCAGTAAGCAAATGTTACTCACTGCACCATAAGCCTTCAATTTAGGAAGAACTTTGGTTTGCACTCAAAATTTTGTTCAAGTTCAATTTTTAGGGGAGTCTATAAGGGGCTCCCCCCTTCTAACTCACCACTCTCTGCACTCAAGACATCCCGTTTTACAATACAAGTCACTCCTACGTATTCCAAATGTCGAACCTTTGGCACTGAAAGTCATAATGAAATCTCACTGGGCTCCCTGACAAACTTTAAGAGAGCGATTTCGACAGACTGTGATGGCGTGTCTACAAACGAAAGTGTCAGCGCTACCTATTACAAACAAAAGTGTCAGTTTGCAGATGTGATATGGTATTAGAAATAATCACCCATTTCAACCACCTGTCAGTCCTGTATTATCAGTACTGTTATATCGCATCGCCTGTATGATTACTTAAATCGGAACAGAAAGTGCAAGGCTAATGTTCACACACGCCGTGTATACTGCGCGTAAATAAAGGATCCTTTAATGAATGGAGAAAATTTACGGCTTATTAAACCGTTGAGTGCTCTAGTGTCCCGTGGTTGAAGTGTCTTGGAGCTTGTGGACTCAAGTCCGGCCTGTGGGATGGTGCGTGCGCCAGGCCTTGGACGACGCACAGTGTCACTCATTGCTTCTCTCCACCTAGAAAAATTGGGCAACCGTGAGGGGAGAGATGGCTATTGAACGGGTAGTTGAAGTAGCTGCTTTTGCGCAGAAATGCCAGCATCGAGCCGGAAACTCCCTCAAGGAGCTGGGATGGTATTTGGAAATGATTCATGGGCCTAGTGAGCAGGGGTAATAGCGACGAAGCGTCTTGAGCACCTGTCCATGAGGACAGATGCGTTGATACCCATTACAGTCAACTGGCTGGTTTGAAAAAAAAAATAGATTAGTTGTAATGGCTGGTGGGGTATAGTCCCGATGTATGGAAGAGGTGGGGTATGCCATAAATCTATTTTAATAATGATTGTCTTGGCATTTTTATCTAAAAAAGGGGCTGTGGGTGGAAAGGTGTTTGGACCCCCAATGGCCTTATAATGCCAAATAACTGGTTTCTAATCACGCGTATCTAAAATTTATGACTGATATGTCCCCGCAGCTGTATAAACTCAATTTCAGAAATGCATTTATTATCATTCCCCGTTATGCAATAGCGATGGTTAGTTCAGTGAAAGCTAATCGCTTATTTTTGGAAGCTTGTCTTTGCGCGATGGTGATCATACGATATCCTGGGCCAGATGCCAACGGAATATCAATTTCGCATTTCACCAGTCATAGTTATGAATACAAGGCTAAACGTGTGGTTTGGATTGGTCCAGACTTCCCTCCTTCCTGCACAAGCCCCGACACTTTTTTAATTAAATCTTTACCCATCCCGTAAGAAAAGGATAAAAGGACGCAGATCCAACAGACTGCCATCACCCGTACCTACCATTATTCATTTCACTGTCTCAGCAACGATTTGGCCGTATAGACTCGGTCAGCATACCCATCACGATGTTCCGCTTGCTATGTTTGCTGTTGGCGTTGGGTCTTGTCTCCGGGGAACGAGATCTCCAAGAACGCGATTGTAAGTATCGTTTTGCCATTTTTTTTTAAATACAGAGAACATGTTGGTTCAAGTTTAAACAACACGTGTGAGTTCGTAAAGGCTGCCACACACAAACGCTTTATCCGCTACGCCAATGTTCCTTCCTGACCTGCCGTATGACGTAAGCAGATTGCTTCTATGTACACTGTAGTAGATATCTTAAGGTGCTTGATCATGTTTGTCACTCCTGGAGAAGTTTTGCCGTATGCCCCGAACAAGAGCAAACATGTTTATTTGCTGCAGTGCCACAAATGACCAAAATATCCGTCACGAATGAACTTTGTCGAATCAGATAGCTCCCTTGTATACCGGCTTATGAATGCTTTGTGTTGTGTGATGAAGTTTTTAATTTTCATGGATTATTATTTGCTTGTTCTAATAAGGGCATGTACTCTATTTAAGAGCTTCCAATCAGGGTGCATTCCACCAAATGGTTGTATTTCTGCGCGCGAGCTCATTAATATTTTGTGATCCCACGGGATTTTTACAATAAGACATGCCATAATCAGGAGGCATCCTAGAAATATTTCTATAAATCCCTGGGACTAATAGTTTTCAGTTCGGGGTATTTCTTTCACAAAAAGCCCCAAATTGCGGGCCTATTTTGGATAGAGGCGGGTGGCTACATTCAGAAATGAGCGCTTAGTTTTACTACTGTTTTGGGGGTAGGTCTATCTTCCTCAAAAGGCGAGTAAAAAAGATTTTCGCGGCTAAACCCCTTGAAATTGAAACGAAAAGTGATCTTCTGGCCATAATCTTACATTTCCAGTAAAAAAACGGAGGCCAACCTCTTCATGAGAGTCAACAGGCGGCGCTATATCGGTCTGATTTTCCACTGTTTTCTATTGGCGGGTATCTGGTGTAGTGCAATCATCAGTCCCTCAAAAGAACACCAACTCCCGGAATACGGGTTTTTTTTACAATAGTGCGCCTCCAAGAGTTTGCAACGCGTTGGCCAATCACAATGCGCGAAATCTGTCCACCCAATTAATTTCGCTCGTCGCCCAGTGTCCATACAAGACGCTGGGAAGGGCCAATCGCTTTTGAGCTCTTATCGGCCAAAGCTTTACGACCTTTGACCGCGAGGTCATTACTTCCTTTGTAAACATTCTTGGGTAAATCATTTTATTATTAGACTTTGCTAATTGTTACTGAAATTAGTTGCAATAAGACATGCCATAATCAGGAGGCATCACATTTGAGCCACTTTCGCTTCTGTGCTTACAGTTAAGGCAATTTATTTTGCGCGTCTAAAACTGTGACCCCCGTGTGACGTATTTCCTTCACAAAAATTTGTGAAACGTATTAACCCTTCCCAGCGCCCTCTGAGGACGCTGTGAGACCAGCGAATCCACCCAATGCGCGTTTGGAAAGGGTCGACAGATTTCGCGCGTAGTGTGATTGGCCAACCCGTTGCAAACTCTTCAAGGCGCACTATTGCGAATCGCCCGTATTCGAAAATTGTCAAACTTTCATTTTCAAACGAAAGTGTCGATCTTTTCTGTCTGGTTTTAACCTTTTTGGTTTGTTTGTTTTTTCTTTTTATTTTCTGTGACAATGGACGAGGCATCTAATCTTTAGCAGTTGTTTTCTGTATTTTCAAATTGCAGGGCGTAGCTATAATTTCGATGAACGTGCAGAGTTAACCTGCACCAACGGGGATGTATACATTGCCCACATTGCGTTACACCTTTCCAGCACTACTGGACATTGTCAAATGTACGCTGGTCTGGTCAACCAAATCACCGATAGCGCTCGCAGGTACTGCAAAAGCCAGGGTACATCGCAGAGGTGCGACTTCACCCTGGACGATTTCGGGCCGGAACCAGACCCCTCTTGCTACGCCGGTTTTGAAGTCATTTACATCTGCAAATAAACCTTCAGACCAATCATTAAACCAGATATAATTATACTCTTTTAAAATTCTATATTTTTTTTCGTTTTATTATTTTCCGACTGTAAAGGAGACTAACTTCTTGCAAAGGGTTATCATATACACGATTGACACAAAACAATCCGCAAACCATATGCATTTCAAAATCTTCAGCACTTGATCCGACATCCTGTGATGCTAGAATTTATTTTAGCTTTTGATCCTCCCATTACCATCGTTTCTTGAATATCGCGCTCAAGGAGGCTCGGGAAGCTATGAACTGATGGTCATTATCAGCCTCCTTCCAGTTTTGTTTTTAAACTTCGCTTGGTTGCGGTTTTAAATCTCGTCATTAATTTGTTTAATTCTGCTGAATTCAGTATTCTATAAAAACTCTTATACTTGAAACTTCATTATTGTATAATTCAGTCAATGGTTAAGACATGATCACTATTGTCATTTGGGGCACATTCAGCCATTGTTATCATTCCCATCACGAGTGGCATTCATTCCTGTTTTAATCACTTCTCTCATTTTAAAGCGAAGAGTGAACAAATATGTAGCCGCTTTCAAACCGTTAAAACGTAGTAGACACATCTTTATTGACTCGTCATACCATTGGATCATACCATAAATGGTGCCAATTTTGAATTTTGCTGTGGGACCAAACATTTATTGTATTATTACCACCACAATCCTTCTTTTATTCCAGATTTCGGTTTGTAAGCATTGACCATTTTTTTTATCCAATTCGTTTCCTAATTTGCACAACTGCTTACGTCTAAACGTCACACAGTTTGTTTGAAATCGTTGTGACGCTTCAGTCTGCCACGAATACGTCAACATACATACAAGAATGAATTCCATCAGTTGTTGGATTCACTCAATTACAGCGTAACAAGAGTCTGTTAGCTCCATTTGTACACTGAAGAAGATTATGAAGAAACAGAAAGACAGGTGTCTCAGTTGAAATTCTTCAAACGGACCTATAAGCTTTAAAGTCCTTTGTATTTTCAATTCTCCTATAATTAGCTCGTATAGTACGTGAGAGGTGCCTGGATAATTGCCCTACATTGTTGGGAGGACGCTGAATTTTGCACGGTGTCGTCTGTAATTTCGGAATGTATTTCTGAGGGAGAAACTTCAACGGCCCTTCTTTTAGGAATACATCTCATTCTCATTTTAATTTCCTGGACTTGAGTAGGCCTACATATCAAACTATATCGAAGCCCGCCTTTTTGTTATTTCGTTCTGCTGCGCCTCTTAATCTCAAAGTTTGATACATTGGTTGTATGGCAGTGATCATACTCTAGCCATGCATAACACCCGTAAACAGCGCCCTCGTACCGTCGGAGGAGCATACGAGGGGCCCTGTTTACGGGTGTAGCGATTCACCATATCGATTTTTATGTGAATATGAAAAAAGTTCATCGCAATGGCCTCATGTAACGACCTTCGCCCGTACTGTACGGCATTGGGTTGACAGCTCGTGACTAGGGAGTTTGCGGGCACTTTAATACACAAGCTTTTCGCCTGGTAGCACCGTGCCAGTCGCGAGGTGACACCGTCAAACGAGTTTGCGAAATGTACAGTGCGTTTATAGCAAGATCCTACCAGGGCAAACGTGCTGCATAGCACGCGGGTGGGTGCAAAATGAAGATTGTACCTGGGTAGGAGATTCAGAAGAGGGGTGCAGACCACTAAATCAAGTGAGAATTTCTGGCCAGCTCATTAGCATTAAAGTGCCCCAACGGCATCTTTTGAAAAAGGAGATTGTTTGGCCCCCAAAATGGTGAGACTGTGTAAATCGCTGCCACGATGAACTCCCTTGGTCTTTGAGCTTTCTTGTGAGAGCAGAATGGCTAAAAAACTACGGTTGGAAAATGGTCGTAAGTGCCCGAGAAAGTTGAAAGTGGCCACTTGAAAAATGGCCGCAATCGGACTTCCGAAAAGTCACCTTTCGGGGGTGATTTTGTTTTGTGGGAATAATTAAAAATTTAATTGGTTAACCCATAAAAGATTGAAAAGAAATTTGAAAGATTAGGGACTAGATATTAATTTCATTTGTGTTTCGGAAATCTCAGGGATGTTGGTATGCATGTTATTGGGCCCTGAACAGTGCTGATTTTACACTGTTTTCAATGGGGCTTGAATTAGTGGACTGTACCCAGAGAGCACAAAGCCGTCAGGAAGTTTTCTCACGTGACCTTTATGAAAACAAGTTTTAAAAGTTAACATACAAGTATGTAACCTTGGACATTTCTGGGGCATACCACTAGCTACCCGTAGCCTCTTAAACAATAGTCATCTTAAAAATAGAAAATAGTTACTTGAAAAAATAAAACAACAAAGTCACGTATTGTCTGACTGTTTTTCTGAGAACCATCGACAACACAGTCGAGGAATGACGTTTTATTTATACAAATTCCCTAAGCTTCAGTTAGAGGTCAGTCTAAGAAAACTTTGGTTACCATGGAGTAGCACGAACCGTTGATCCCTGGGGCAAGACGGCTGCCAGTTCATTGGACGCCCTCTTCCCTGTTTATTGCCTTAGCCCCATAAACCGCTGCCTCGGATTGGAAGCTCGTTGTCAGTACCATGTCGGTACCAATCACGGTCTTGCAAAAACTACTGCGCGACCAGAAAGTGCCCTTCTTCAAGGAGTTCGGAGGGATACGTATTCATGCCACGGCCTTGTCGAGCAAACAGCTTCGTGCCACCTCGCTCAATCTGGACTCTGCGAAGCCTACGGTACAGCCTTAAGGTGCACGTTTGCCATGATGAGGGGGACATTAGTGATTCTTCTTGCACTGTGCATAACGGGTAAGCTGTGATATATTACTCGAGGAACATGACTCAAACGCTTTTGACCTATACTCATAGTCCTCCACCCCAAACATGCAAAAAAAGAGGAAGTCAGAACAGCTGAAGCGGTTTCAGATTCTTTCGTCTTTTATCGGTGCAGACTGTTGTCAAATGAGTGTCTGCATGTACGCGAGCATTACAGTATGTGCTATAACTTACATCAGGCAGGAATGAAGACACGGTGCGCAAAGCTGTGGAAGAATTTCTTTGTGAAATCACCTTACCTCCATGTGAAACAGACGAGCAGTATGTTTATATGTGCGTGGCCATAATAGTGGACGCCAGCGCTGAACTATCTCACGGTGATGTTTTCTTGCTCTGACCTATTACCTGATGGTTTCCAGACGGTACTCTAGACGGTTCATTCCGATTCTTTAATGTAAACTGTGACCAGTAGTGGGGGGGGGACTGTTGAAAACACTTTGACCTTTGACCCAGAAAAGGGAAAAGGTCATAAAATGCATAAGTATAATAATAATATGATATTGATATGAATAGGAATGAGGTGTAGGGTGAAAAATTCTGGCACAGGTTGACCTTTGGTAAGGGATAGGCATAAGGTCAGAAAGTCTGGCACAGGTTGATCCTGGTGAATGGGATAAAATAGGAATGAACATAGCACGGGGTAAACATTTTTGGGCACAATTTGACCTTGCTTATGAAATTATGGCACAACATGATGAAACAGGATGAGTCATATCGTGTGTGATGGCATACTGACTGGCCCACCAGGAGGCCCAAAAGTAATGAGGAAGTAGGAAGCGATAATCCCTACACAATAGACAGCTCGTGCCGCCGGTTAATGAGAGGGATAATCCCTAGATAATGGACTGTATGTAGTGGCTGAGCTGTGTTGGAGGACTATTGTGTTAATGGTTACATTGTGTACGTTGGAAGTGAGCGTTGGTCTGACTAAAGGTCTGACCTTTGGACACTAAGGAAGAGAGGGCGCCCACATGCTAGCGGTCTTGGGTTTGGCTTACTATGGCTACCGAGATTTGATCGATACGGGAAGAAGACTCTGTTGTCCCTGGCTGAATTTTTTAATCGTTTGAACTACAGTGTTTTACGTCCCGTTACCCTGTACATGTATACGTTTCACAAATTCAGAGCGGAGCGTTACTCTCGTTCTTTATCGCGGAACCTAAATGTGAAATACAGCATTATATAAAATTAAGAATTCTGGGGGTGGCATGACGTCAGTTGGGGATTATTAATACGTAGCAAAGTGGTAAATTTATTCGTCGTGCTGTGGAATATTGTGTAGAAGTTCTGGCCAATATCTGATCTGCGAATTATTATTCGATAGTCATACCGATAAGTATAACACAAAACAAATTCGGTGGACTTCACATATTGGTTTCTGGCAGGCTTGCACTGGTACCGTTTTATTTCCGGAAGGGGGTTGACCAACAAACCCAATCACTCGGGACCATATATAGGCCTACGTGCATTTCACACACTTCAACCCTTTGTAAGGATCTGTTATAGACAAATCCGGTGACCATGGTAACATTATACATGCAACTGGTCATTCGCGGTGGCCCCCGCCAATGGCTTAAAGCACTGTGATAATTGCTGCGCGATGGCATTGTTCTATGACAGTCG